CTGTGAACGAATTCATCTTACTTGGATCCATCAACAACACAATTCGTACCAGCAACCAGGAAGATCAGGAGATGTTTTGCATTGAGAAAGTCTGCAATCAGGGACCTCGCCAAATTACTGAGGAGTTTGAAGACTTACTGTTGGAAAAGGAAAGAAAGACCCTCAACAAAGTGGAAGGACAGTGACTGCAACAAGAGCTTATATACAGCAGAGACTGGGAGGATGGTGCAGTGGCAGGCAGTTTATTCTGATGTATGTAGTGGCACTCAGTGGGACCCACCTTAAAGGAAACTAATAAACAGTGATGGTGTTGAGTACTTTTTTTTTTTTTTAATGTGCATGTTATCTGCATTTGAATCTCTTTGGAAAATTTTCTGTTCAAGTACTTATTCTTTTTTTATTTTAATTTTATTTGTTTATAATTTGGTGTACTGTCAAATTGGATCCAACTGGCACAGGAGGAGACTGCCTCTCCTCCTTCTCCAGCAGAGCATGTGGTGGATTCAAACTGTACACCTTCAGGATTGCAGTGCAGCTTCTTGCCACTAGGCCATGAGGGCTCCCTACACTTTGCTTATTCTTAAATGAGCTCTGGTGGTATATGTAGTATGTAGGGAGTTTTGTTGTTAACTTATGGCACAGACCTTTCTGGCAGTTTGAATCCCCTAGCAGCTCTGGGGGAGAAAGATGGGTCATCTTCTTCCTTGTGATTTACCGCCTCCCTTAACCTGGGTCAGTTGTGAGTCATTGATGACTCCACAGCAATGAAGACTTTTTAGTTAATTCTTAATTTGGGTTATTTGTGTTTTCACTGTTGAGTTGTAAGAATTATTTGTGTATTCTGGGTACCAAATCTAAATATGACTTGCAGATATGTTTTCATTCCGTAGATGGGTTTTTGTTTTGTTTTTCCCTTTTCATTTTCTTGCTGTTACGCTTTGAAAGAACAGGTCTTCGATTTTTTTTTTTAATTTCCCCCCCAGTTTGGTTGCTTATAAAAATTTTCATTTTAATGACCTAGTAGGGGTCTGTCTTGGAGAAAGTGAAACCAAGTTTCTCTTTGAGGGCAAGGATTTTGAAGTTCTGTTTCACATGCTTTGGGCACGTGGCCAGGAAGGACCAATCCTTGGAGAAGGACATCATACTCGGGCAGGTGGAGGGACAGCAGAGGAGAGGGAGACCTTGAGTAAGATTGATTGATACAATGACTGGTGCATTGGGCACAGAGCTGTTCTACATAGGGTCACTGTGAATCACAGGCGACTTGATGGCACATAATAACAATAATCTACCTATTGCTCTTTTGTTTTTGTGCTTTTAGCATTATATTTAACAATTCATTGCCAGAGTGAAGGTCATAAAGATTTCTTCTAAGAGTTTTATGAGTTTCAGGTTTTATATTTAAGTTTATGATCCTCTTTGAGTTATTTGTATGTGTGGGTGTCTATAAGGTAGGTATCCAACTTGATTCTTTTGCATGTCTGTAGTCCATTGTCCTTGCAATTTGTTGGGGCGGGGGGGGAAGTACCTTTCCTGATTTAAATGCATTAGACCATGTCGCACATAACTTGACCATATATGTAAAAAATTCTTTCTAGATTAACAATTTTATTCCATTGCTTTGTACAGGTCTTATGCCAGTATCACAACATCTTGTATCTTCGTAATAAGGTTTTAAGTTAGGAATTATGGGCTCTACCACTTTGTTCTTATGAAAGATTGTTTTGACTGTGTTGTGAGCATCCCTTTCACAGGTCTTCCTGGGTAACTCTCTAATCTTCAGTTTTATAGTTTTAGTTATTAAAAGGTTGCTTACTAAGCATGGGATTATGAACTAAGGTTGAAGAGAAAGAATACAGCGTAATATTTAAGAGTCATAGGCCAACGCTTCTAAGTGTGAATGCTCTTTGCCTCTCAGTGGCCTTTTCATCTCTAAAATTGTAATAATAATAATACCTTCTTCTTTGAGCAGTTGTGTGGGTAAAATGAAACAACACATATAAACAAGATAGTACTTGAGACTTGTTAACTTTTCGTAAGTGGTACCCTTTGGGTACTTTTCTAGTGTCTGGTTACCTGAAGCATGGTGTTCAGAAATGCAAGGTCCTTTTGCCTTGAAAGAGGTCCAGGAGGAATAAAGTCATACTTATTCTAGAATAGAATTAGGGGACTGGAACAGCATAGCTAATACTTGGTTCTGGAGATTATATTGTCTGATTTGAAATGCTGGGAAGAGGTCACAGATTTTGATGTTGAATCTCACTAACTTTAATTGTTGAAGGTGATATTTTCTGATCTGGTTTCTAAATTCTAGGATTCACAACTTTCCCCAGAGTCTCCATACCCAGAATTTCAATTACCTGAAACCTAAAACTAGACTTCACAACGCATGCATGTACTTACTAACTCACAAGACCAGAAAACTCTACCAGAAACTTGAGATTCTAAACTAATAAAAGTTCCCCTGTGTTTAAATATATACTAGAACCATTTACACAAAAAGTGTTGGTGTTGTTGTTAAGTGCCGTCGAGTCGCAGGCAACTCATAGCGACCCTATGAAGGAGAGTCCTCGAAGCTTGGGTGCCTTTCATCCTCTCTCCAGGTTCATAGGGTTTCCGGAGGCAAGCTGTTATGGAAGTGGATGCCACTCCTCCTTCCAAGCTTGTTTTAATCGGGGAGCTCCACCCCACTCTCTGTCCGCATTGGGTAGCCAGCTATTAATGCATTTGACACATTAGTGTCACAGTATTCAGCCTCGCAGCAACCACAAGTGACCGCTGTACAGCACCTTGTACACCAGGGCTATAAGACCTAGAGGAATGTCTGAACAAAAACAATGAAAGACAGGCCCTAGGGCCGCGGATTTAAAGTCACCCACCTTTGGTTTGGTAGCATCGCTTTCTGTCTACTGGGCCAGCTGATCTCTCTATGTTGATGTTATTGTTGTTAAGTGCTGTCGAGTTGCAGGCAACTCATAGCGACCCTATGAAGCAGAGTCCTCGACGCTTGGGTGCCTTTCATCCACACAAAAGTAGGAAAGAAAAATGTTAGGAAGAGGAATTGAGAAGTGTTTGCCTCAATGCAAGAAGTAAAAACCAAAAATTTAAAAGGAAAAAAAA